AAGCTAGATATGTACAACGAATGTGCACGCAAAAGCTAAATATGTACAACGAATGTGCACGCAAAACTCAAGTTCTAGAACTAAATAAATATCCAGAATAATACGAACAACCAGAACCTTCAGTCGAAGTTTACATCTAGAAGACTCTATGAAGAAGACGAACAATTCCAGTAACAATATCAAGAAAAAATGGTGCGATTATAGGCAATCTCTGTTATCTGTTCGTGATATTTTTAATCACACTGTTCGGGGGAAAAAAAAACTATGGCAGTGTTAAATTTCCACTCCTAACAGTAATCTTGAGTGTTGAAGCGATGCCTGTATCTCCACACTATATATGAACTAATAAAAACATGCCAGCTGGTTCTGAGATATCTAATCGAGTTTCTGTCTATTTAGCTGCATTCTATTATTGAAATGATAGTGATGAGTTGTTTTTTAATCCCTAGGCTGTTTTGGTTTTGTTGTTTGTTCACCCGATACATACCTTAATCCACTATTATGCAAATACTTTATATTCGACTCTTTTTTTTTCCGCTAACAGAGACTCTCCATTAACCGTTATTACATAAATACTTTACAATGCACGTATTCCGCGCAGATAACTTATCATATGTCTTACAAGAGACACTATGTTAACCAATACGTTACAATCAACCTACTTTCCAAGCATCTTTATCATATCTCACAGACACTGTCGGTGAATCATTACTGCTAAAAGTGCTTTATAATAAGCATAGCTCCCAGATACATTTTTACACTGTCCATACAAGGAAGCGCAACACTATTGCAGTTGTAATGGACAACCAACTACAAACTTGTAACACAATTTTATTTGCCTAAATAAATATTTTAGTTTAGTCAAGACAAGAAGACATGTTACGACTTAACCAATGCAGTGATGTTCATTTCACTTGGTTTGTACTTTTATTATTTGAGAATGGAATCTCCTTTTCAGTAGAGTTTATGGCCTTCCAATCACATAAACATGAACATATATATACATGAGAAAAGTAACAGACTACACAGCACAGCAGAAATGTTAAACTGAGAAATAAAAGGTAAACTAAAATCATGACAAACAGTCCAAAACAACAACCAGTAACTAAACACTTGAAAATGTAGAATGTTTCACATATCTTGGTGGTGTTGTGTCCCTACTGAGAGGGACAGAGGGACGTCTGAACAAAGCTGTAGCTGCTTTTGGAAGGATGAGGCAAATCTGGAAATCCAACAGTTACTGCAAAGGAACGAAACTTCGAGTCTACAAGAGCATCATTTTGACAGTTCTTTATTATGGAGCGGAATGCTGGAGAATTACCAGAAGGGATGTTCACAAGCTATCCACCTTCTACCACACATGTCTTGGTAGAATTGTCAGTTTTCTGGCCAGATGCAATCTTAAATACTAAACTACTTCAAGTCACAAGCCAAGAAACTCTAGACTGAATGATAATCAAGAGAAGATGGAAATGGCTTGGCCACGTTATGAGAAGGAATCTTGATATGCCTGCTAAAACAGCTCTCACATGGATACCAGAGGGAAGGTGAAAAAAGGGGCGCCCAAAAACAACACTGAGTAGAACGAAGGAGAGGGACCTGAATGCGGCATCTCTGACGTGGAAAACTGCACTGAAGATTACACAGGACAGGAGAACATGAATAATCCTCTCTGAAGTCTCATGAGCCACTAGGCATAAAGAGAATTTACGATGATGATGATGTTCTTCTATGGCCTCCTAATAGAGAACAGCATCTCTTTGACCAGACAGTCAATCAGTAGCACGTCCTTTGCAGAACCTTGCCTCTATAACACCCATCCAAATAACTGCTAGATCACAAGCAAGATACTCGATACACCCATCTGGAGATCATCCACCACATCCTGCACCCATCTCTCTTTGGCTGTCCTCTTCCTCTCTTCCAAGACATATACCCCTCCATTATAGTTCTCTCTAAACTATCGCGATGTTTCAGGTGACCAGAATATTTCAATTTTCTGTGTTTTATCGCCTTTAATAACTCACCTTCTTCAATATTCAATTCTTGAAGTATGTATGCATTTGTTCTTTTCTTTACCCATGTTATTCTAGAGTCCGTCTAAAACATTTGTATTTAAAGGCATTTATGCGCTGTTCAACTTGTTTAGTGTTGGCATTGATCTGAATATTCGCTAGATCTGTTTTTGTGAGACGGCCTGCTACTCTCATTGGAATGCAAAAGACAACTGTTGGAGATTGGTTGGAGCCACGTCTCGCTGGTGGAGCCACGTCTCGCTGGTGGAGCCACGTCTCGCTGGTGGACTCGCCTGTCGAGTTCATCTCATACGTGCTGCATGGGTCCAAGTCTGATGACATGGCTGGTCACTGTATAGTCAGGATATTGCTGTCAGTCAGGAACTGCGTGGTCATTGTGCCACATAAGATCTATTGTTATCCTGCATTTAAAAAAAAAAAATAGAGACTCATATGCAGCCAAAAGTGTATGGACGTGAGGGCAAAGAATTTCAGCAGCGAATCTTTGGGCATTCAGGCGTCTTTCAGTTAGCACTAGGTAATCCGTTCTGGCGATGCAGATCGGTAAGAGCTGGCCCTCCGCTTCGTCTTCGAGCCCAAAGACCAGCGTCATGTAGCCCGTTCCTGGCCGTTTCAACTGAAAAACAACAAGTTGCTCTCAATGACTGGACTGTGGTCGTCGCATGAAGCAGCCTTTACCAGGTATTGTGACTCTAGATCTTCTAATGCCCAGCCGGTCTGCCATTGAGTCAGTTTGTTTAAATCACCTCTAAAGACGAAAAATGGCGCGTCTAGCGACATTGCTTTGTCGGGTCACATCACTTTGTGACTGGCCAGCCTATAAACGTCCAGTGATGTTGAGTTGTTGTTCTGTAGTGAGAGGGACTATTCTTGCACCTTAAATTTTTAACTGAATTTGAGAAGTGTGTGTGAAACTGTCACTATTTATTGTCACACATCAAGCGTTTCCTGTTGTTCGAGCAGCAAGCATCACTTTCAGTCGCACCATCCCATTTGTATTCTGATTCATGCCTGTAAGTCCAGCAACGGGCAGTTTCATGTACAAGGCCAACGGCTGCAAGAGACTTTGAGGTCACTATTCTGTTTGCTTGACCCGGTCACGAACAGTCTGTCATAGAAGCTTTGAAACTTCCTACTCCATCATACACTGCCTGGACTGACAGGCACACATCACCACGCCAGACATTCATTCGCCCATGAGTTTTTATTGGTTACACCCTTACATTGTTGTCATTCCAAGAGTGGGGCCATCTTTAAGCTGTCATTATGACTGCGTCGTGTTTATCTGTACCGTAAGTTCGCGTGCTTAACACTTTTGACATCCTTAATCAACAATACTGACATGAAGACAATGGTTATTGTAATGTATGTCACACTTTTAAGGTTTTCATTTAAAGCCCGCTTTCCCTCGAATAACAGCTATATAAGAATTGACCTTGTTCAATAATTGAATATCAGTCTTATCAGAATTAAACCTGTTCAGTGAGCTCCATTTCTCACAAAGTAGGCAAGCCTTGGATAATTTCACAATTATAATGATAAAACCTTGTCTTGACCACTATTCAGCTATTTTCAATCAAACATCCCTGTACCGTTGTATTGTATTTTTTGTTCAGTCAATGAGGCAACACAATCTTGTTGCTGAAACTCTGTTTAAATCGCTTGGGGAAACAAACAAAAAATAATAATTTGCATATTAACGGATATTCTGCTTTTCTTTGTTTGCACGAAGCATGCATAATATTTATTAACCATATACAAGCTTTTCGGAATGAATGATCTTTCAGTACTTCTTATAGATACAGTCTATTGTAGATAATATGTTTTCTGAGTGGCATCTTAATAAATAATTTTCTCCTTTCGTCTAAAATCAAGGCAATTTATTTTTCTGATACCTACAGGTAGAATTGTTGCTCAAGACATATTCACGTGTTTTAAATTAAATAGAATTTCAGTAAATATTTTCTCAAATATTTTATTTATTTGCAGCAACTTTTCCCTGCGTATTTATCATATTTTGTTTATTGTTAGGTTACTATACATCAAAATGAATTTATTACTCCAGAGGCAAACTTATTTTAGATAGCAGGAAATGTAACGTTTTTTTTTTTTTTAAATTATTATTTCCCTCTGGCTGTGAGACGCCAGACGTGTTCTTCGATATTTCACTAATGTTTTTGATTTCTCAAATTTGCAGGTAGCTCTCTACCTACTTGAAGTCAAAGAAAAAAATCAACATGTCTGCTATTTCAAATGTTAGTCCATAAGACGTGCAAGTCAGAATGTACAGAAACTATTAGGATAAAAAAATTAACACGTTTTAGCCTGCAAAGAAGTCTAATAGTGTCTTTTTCTCCGTCTTCTTTTTTTTTTCTTTCTGATTTTTCTTCTGCTGCTTCTTCCTCCCCCTACTCCTCTGCCGCCATCAACACCAAAGTGTTGGTGAGTTTACAGCTAGGCTGCAGTATCGAACACTTTCGGCGCATTACATCTGATGTCAGTAAAATCCTTTAATTAGTGGCATTTATGACATGCTTATTAAGAGGCAGAAGGTCCATTCTTGCCACCCCCCCCCCCCAAACCCCGCCCCCTTTCCCTAATATAAGACCTGTCAACAAATATGAGTACTAAATGTATTTTATATGAACATATTCAATTAATAAACATTTATGCATTTTTTTTTTTTCAATCAAGATTGTGGACACAAACAATAAATTGTACAATTTATTGCCGGGCATTTTCTGAAGTATCTCGTCGGGTACATTTACCGAGTTTAACCACTATATAGTGAAACAAAAAAAAAAATGAATCCTTTTTGCTGAAATACAGTATCACATTGTTATTGTCAAGTTAGGCTGTACATCTATCTACATGTTAATGTAAGTTTTCGTTGCAGTTGTAACGTCTTAATAAAGACCATATCGATTATGACTTGTTATAATCATATCAACACATTTTCCTCAGCAATATCCATTACTGGTAAAATGTATGTGGACCTGGGTGACAAGATATACCTTATTTGTAATGCTTCCGGTGGGCCGAGAATCCCTGACGAAATCGACTGGTTCAAAGCTGGGGACAAGATCGATTCTTCTAAATACAGGTAAGTTTCCATTACATTGATAAGGCAATGCAGAGATATCTAGAATTTGTTAGACACTTTTTAAAAAAAGGACAGACTGGTGTGTATGGGTATTTGGGTATTGGCAGTGGTGAGGGATGATGAGAATACCCTGCACAAACACAAAGATTATTGAAGATAAAATCTTTAACGAAACTGACTCATGAAGATAATTGATTGACCACATCAGGAGACAAACTACAGTCTTTGGTCAAATCTTGAGAGGGAGACAACTGAAGTATATCGCGACCAGTGGTAAGCTGGTGTTCAAAAGAGAGAGGAGGAGTTCAAAGAGAAAAGGTACTATAGACAGTTGGACATCCTGGCGTGGAGGATCATCAGTGTCGGAATTGATTAAAAGTACATGAGACAGAAGGTTGTGGACACAAATGACTATCAACATCACACGGCATGGCCATTGAGAAAAAGTCGTGAGAGAGAGACATATGGACTCAGTCGTAACCGTGGGTGAGTTGGACGGGAAGAGAGTGGTGGGGGCAGGAGGCGGGATATACTGACAATTTGACATCATGGCATGGAGGATCATGTGTGTCAGAGTTGACAGAGTACAGGAGACATAAGGCAATGGTGTCACACGGCAAGGACTTTGAGAAGAAGTCATGTAAGAGAGAGAGACAGACAGACAGACAGACAGACAGACAGAGACAGGGAGAGAGAGAGAGAAATTGAGTACATCGTGACCGCAGGTAATTTAAAAGGCGAAGAGAGAAAGAGGAGGGAGACTAAAATAAAAGCTACTAGACAATTTGATTTCATTGCATGGAGGATCATCTGTGTCAGAGTTCATAGAGAGTACAGGTGACAGACGGTTGTGGATAGATATAACTACCAGCGGCTCACGGCCTGGACTTAATGAAGAAGAAAGCGGTGTAAGGCTGCTGAACCAGCTGTGGGGTTGCACCAGGTCTAAGGATCATACTGGCCTAGATCTATTTACGCCTCACTGTGGTCATCCTAGAAGCAAGTTTCCAACGGGGAACACGGCCAGGGTAGATCTCTTTTTCTTCTTCTTCTTTGTATTTTTCTTTTCTTTCAAGCTTTCACCGGCTGTAAACTCTAGCGGAAAGTTGTGACTGTTCGTCTACTTCTTGACTTTGGTCTTGCTCCAGGACTTGAGTACAGCATGCACATAAGTTTTACATATAAGGTTTATTTGTATGCAGAATGTTGGTCCCTTTCCTCTGAGGCAGACACACTCTGACCTTGAAAGAAACACTCCTAACCACTCCTTCGACATACTTGTTAGGGGACCGTGATCTATTCTTCATTTCCCCAAATGGAGTCCAAGAACCCGCAAGAGGTGGACGTAGATTTGATCGACCTTTTCGTCGACGTCGAAGTGCATCTGCATGAGAGACGAGAAACCAACAGTCTACAAGACCAAAGTCCAGGAGTGGGTGATCAACCAGGACATTCCCCCAGAGTTGACAGACAGTAAACGCGAGGAAGAAAAAAAAAGGGGATGGTGTTAAACACATTTGCGATGAAAGGGGGAGGGGAGGAGAGAAAGATAGAGAAATGCTGTCACAAATAGGAGGGATGGCAATATATTAGATATCAAGACGTAATTTTACACAAACTACTGCTATTATAGTCTGAACCAGAAATCCTACCCGAACTTTAAAAATATCTAACCAGTAAACGTTTAGTGCGAGTTGAAACTAGGCATGTAGTCTGTTAATAATAATGTCCTTTTATTTTATTTTATGTTTTAAACAAACGTTTTATTGTCATTTTGCCTCATTTGCGATATATGAAAGAACTGACAACGCTTCAAATCAGACAGATGTCATGCTTATAGTAACTTGAGTAAACTGGGTGAGAGGGACCTTTCAAAACATCAGACTGCACACGTGTCACAGGCGTTTCATTCTTGTGTGGTAATCTCAAAAGGTCACATGGAAATGAAAAGAGATGAGCCTGGGGGGGGGGAAACTCCAGGGGCAATATGGTTTATAAGAAAAATGCAAAGAATACCAAGTAAGTGGAGAGGTCCCAGAAACCCCGTTCAGTCGTTGGACCATATTTATGGTCCGGCTATATTCAGAGCTCCCGGCAAAAGCCAGAGTGGTATTTAAAATTTAAAAAACAAATTGCATCCCACATGGGAACGACTGGTGTTTGGAGTGAAAGAATACCACTGAATGATATAAAAACAAAGGAGCAGACATTGTCGGTATATGGGACAACTGTAAACTTGATTAAAGAAAGTAGACGATGATAATCAATATTCTTGGACTTGTGATGAGAAGGAATAAATAAATTCGAAAACACTGTGACCTCTTCTACAAACATTCTGTCAGAAACTGGTAGCCTTGATGGAAGCTTTCGTGCCGTCCGTATATCATCGTGTACCAACCACACAGCTTTGTTTGCCTCGCGGTTGCAACGGGCCAAATTGCTACCCTGTGAGCAGCACACAGTTTGCAGTGTCGGAGTACATGCTCAGCAAACCGATCATCACAGTCTGTGAGAGTGAGCAGCACGCAGTTTGCAGTGTGGGGGTACATGCTCAGCAAACCGATCATCACAGTCTGTGAGAGTGAGCAGCACACAGTTTGCAGTGTGGGAGTACATGCTCAGCAAACCGATCATCACAGTCTGTGAGAGTGAGCAGCACACAGTTTGCAGTGTGGGAGTACATGCTCAGCAAACCGATCCTCACAGTCTGTGAAAGTGAGCAGCACACAGTTTGCAGTGTGGGAGTACATGCTCAGCAAACCGATCATCACAGTCTGTGAGAGTGACGCAGCGAGGAGTGGCCAGGGGTCTGGTCGATACTTGACGCTCGGAGGAAAGGAAAAGACAAACATGTAATAACACTGCCACTAGTACTATTAGTTCTGGAACTCTGCGCTGGCTGCTGAAGATGGGGACGGAGCGCTTATGTGGAGTATCCTGAGTGCTGTAATATCGATTCTTAAATCAAATCAATAAAATTTACGCTCTGCATAGTCTAGTGCCAAGTTGTTAGGACACATCTCAGTGTTTCCTTCACCGAAATTATTGGAACATATTTTGGCGAAGTCATTTGTGCCCTTTCCTTTGACTGAATACAACAAATGGAATTGATAAAGTTGAACTGGGCTCTTATATCGACGCAATAGCTTAAAATTTGTTTTAATGTGAAAAGTAGGGTTCCAGATTAGTCAATATTATTTTCACCCCTCTTTTTGGAATTTGCCTCGAAAACTGCATGAATTGAAAATGCTCGTTAAAAACAAAATAAACAGTAACAACACAGATCTGTCATGTTCCACAGACACGTTGCCTTGGATAAACACCAGTCTATGGCCGACAGCTCCTTCATCTCCAGGTTGACCATTGAACACAGTCAGCTGTCTGACACTGGAGACTACATCTGTCGAAGCAGTCGCAACGACATTGCCAGTTTAAAAGTTACAGTTCTTAACGGTAAGTTTCGTTGACTTCAGGCTGAGAGTGTCCACGTTCCGCCATCACTACTATTGCAACAGACACTACTGCGTATTTTTCTACATTTTCATCACCTTCTTCTTCGATTTCACCCTCTTCTTCATTGAATCAACACATAATCAAGCGCCGTCTCTGTCTTAAATCACTGGTTTTGTTTGAAGTTCTTATTTAATTCACTGCCACGTATTTAGCTCGCTTTGCAGGGGATACATCTATACAACATGACCAACTGCTTGCTTGTTCGATTCATGCGTACTGCTGAAGACGGAAAGTGAAGTTGGTGGATATGTTTATTTAATCGCGTTATTCCCTACCATATAACTGGCTACTAGACATTATCAAAGGTCCACCTAAGTGAAATTAGCACCTGTTAGATATTACGCTACCAACTTAACCATCTTGTACTGAGGGATGAAAGGAAGAGATAGAAGAAAAAGAAGAAGAAGAAGAAGAAGAAGAAGAAGAAGAAGAAGAAGAAGAAGAAGAAGAAGAAGAAGAAGAGGAACAACAACAACAATGTTCCCCCTGTAAAAAGGGCGAGTGCATTGCAGCTTTTCCCACACTTCTGTGTCATTGCTACAGTCAAGAAGAAGAATAGATTTGCGTTACAGTGCTGTGACGTGCGGCGGCTTCATAATGATGTGTGTCGTACCAACGATGAAATAGGCCAAGTGGGGTGAAACAGTAGAAACTTCAATGCTTTCCAACGTTAAAACAACGAACGCTATACGATAGGTTCTATGGGTGTATTGATATACCAATGATCAACGGATGAAAACATGTGCAATTAATAAAGACTCATTCAACCACACCAACACGAGCCCGCTCGACATCAACTGACTTCACAACAAATGACGGGTCGCAGTCTGACCTTGAAAATCCGGACAATCCCAACGATCTCAGTCTGACCTTGGAATCTGGACAATCTCAACGACTTCAGTCCGACCTTGGAATCCGGACAATCACCACGGTCTTCTCTTCTGCAGCCTGAACAAGGTAATATAAGTATACCGGCTTACTGCCGAGCACAATATGCAATCATTATACCAGCTATCTCATCATGTAGCAGGTCCTTTACAGAACGTCGCTCTCATCACAGTCTGCCTGTAAGAAACTCGGTCTCTTGCCAGTTCTCCCGCCTCATGAACTTTCACACTCAAGGAGTCACTTATATCCTGTGCCCATTTTCGTGTCGGTCGGCCTCTGCCCCTCCTTCCTGGTACCATGCCTTCTGCTATAATTTTTTCCAATCCGTCGTGGCGCTTGATAGGACCAAAATATTTCAGCTTTCGAGAAAGGATGCTGTTTATTAGCCAGTCTTCCTTGATGTTCAGATCTTTTAAGATGTCAATATTTCTCATCTTCTTTGTCCAATATATTCTGAGAATCTTTCTATAGCATTTCAGAGCCCCTATTCTCTTTCTTAAGGACTGAGAGATAGTCCACGACTCACATCCGTATGTAGCCACAGGGAAGATGCATGCTCTCAAAATTCTAATTGCTATCTCCTTGCTGGTGCTTAACCATATACTTTTAAGGCTGTTCAATCTTTGCATTGCTATGGCCATCCTCCTTTTAATTTCTGTCGAACAGACTCCATTGTTGTTTATTATAGAGCCTAGATATTCAAAGTTTGTGACATTTTCAATTTCTTCATCATTTATTGTTATTTTTGGGTGACAGCCAGTTTTATCTGTGGACATTATTTTCGTTTTCTTTAAATTCAAGAACAGATTTTGATCTTCACTGTGCTTTTGGACGGACAATATTAAATTTTCTATTCCCTTAACGCTGTTCGAAAGGAGGACTGTGTCATCTGCGTAGCAGAGTTCCGGAATAGGGTTGCCACCAATTTTGAGCGGATCATAACTGTCACAAGTACCAGCTATCTGCTGAGGTTTTTTGGAGTCCGGAGGTAGAACGTCCTCTAGGATCCAACTTTGATTACCATTCCTGCAGTGGCATCCCGGGGTAAAGCATCCTCAAGGATCCACACGTCTGTCTACTTCAGACTGTAAACATCGAATGTCTTTTGACAATACCGTAGCGACGTTACGTATTGTTTTGACGTCCTATTTGCTCATTCAGTACTGGTGCGTTCTAGTGCACATCCGGAAAATGTGTTAAAGTTAGTTGCGTATCCTTCAACGGACGTTGCAAAGCCAACCCCAGCATATTTATTTTTTATTTTTTTAGCTGTTGTGGTTTTTCTAGGCAAATTGACGTCTAGTAGTTTGCCAATGCTTTCTGGACGGTCAGCTTCTTGATACTACTGTCGAGACCAACGTAAGACGCAAAGCCCGCAGCTGGGATCGAACCCGGCATCCCGGCATTGCGAAGAGCGTTCGCAACGCCTGAGCCACAGACGCCGACGTAAGAAAGTGCAAAATTACGATGCTGTTAAAACTGCGAATATTCCTCTAATACATCTGTAAAGCTATTGGAGCAGGTTTCAGTTTTGTACCTCTCATATACAATCACTGGCTTTCGTAGTGAAAGCCAATGCAAACAGTGGCTAGATAACAAGATGCATACACATGTCGTAACTGTAACAGCCTCTGAAAGCATGCTGAAAAAGGTGAAGACAGGGATGCTTCGAGCAGACAGGCAAGCTTCACTAGGAAAGTCACGGGTAGTGAGCATACTTTAAACCTTTTCTCCACGAAATGCCGGCGTAGTGGGTATTGAACAGGCAGACATACTAGCCGGATCTGCACCACTGGGTGGTGAATTGATACATGACAAGGCCGATGTGGTCAAGGCCCGTTGGGAACAAGCAACGGAATCAGTAGAGAAAGAAGATTATTATGGACTGGAGAGAATGAGGCGCCTGTGTGTAACCAGAGGGTCTGGCCGGCTCACTGCACTCAGAGGAAAAGCAAGACGTACATAACGGGATTGTGACCGTACCATCAGTACTGAAACTCTGCGCTGGCTGCTGAAGATGAGGACGAAGAGCGCAGGGAATGCCCCGAGTGCTGTGATGGCAATTCTTGACTCAACACAACTCAAATCATGTACGAACATTACTAATAATTTAATAAAACATGTTAAATACTTATTTCCTGACACTAATTTACGATTGTCTTTTTCAGCTGAAACAGCAAACAAGAGGCGAGGTAAGAATTGTAATTTCTTGCGCCTAAGTAAACACCCAGTTGGAGGTGCTAAGATGTAGTTTTATAGACGAGCAGGAGAAAACAGATCAGATCAAATGTGTTCGGGCCACAATACCATAATACACACATTCAAATATTACTTTGTATCTCTTCTAGATCACTCAGAACATATTATGTGTACCCACAAAAAACAATAACTTATCTAGGTCACTAAAGTGCTTCTGTGCGGAATATATGTAAGTCCTGTGGCTTAAGCGTTGCGAATACGTTTCGTATTTACAGGTGCCAGTTCGGTCCCAGCTGCTGGCGATTTGACAGCAGATCGCCTAGCGTTGGTTTCAGTAGTGGTATCGTGAGTCGACCGATCAGTGCAATAGCAAGCTACTGAACGCAAATTTGCCTATTGTAATCACAAACAGCCAAAAGAAATGCCGAGATTTGGCTCTGCAGTTAGTTCATGTCATATTTACTCAAAGCAAAATTAAGTTGACTCTTTACATAGACATCGTCGGATTTAAACATGGATAAAACTACAGTTTAGATATTTCTAAAATCAAGTATTTCGAAGGACACATTGATAGTGTATTACAAACATAGCTTCTTAGAAGAATGTTTAATTGTATTTCACTTTTTTTTCACTTCTCTTTGTGCCTAGAAGCACATATGGCTTCAGAGAGGACTTTCCATACCTTACTGTCCTGTGCAATCTATTTCACTATGTCTTTGAATTTTCATTTTCATTTCAAAATCTCAATTCGCCCTGGTCTCTGGGTAGTGAGATCGGACGCCCACGTGTATTGTTGCGCACTTTAAAAAATCCCTTGGCAGTTGGAAATCGCAAAGAGTAGCCTAACGGCGCTGCCCGTGCAAAATTTGGGGTTAAAAATCTACCCAAAGTATTTCAGGATCATCGCTAGTGGTACAGAGCTTGTGCACTGTGTTGAGCTTTTTCAGACTCAGACTTGAGACGGAGCACTTATAGGTTACTACCGGTGTGCCATAATTTTGATCCGTTGTTCAAACCTTAAAACCTTTAAACCTTTCTAAATCTCATCCCGCCCTACAGGGATGTTTTATGTCATCTTTACTTGAGCTTCCTACTTCCATGTCTGGCATCGTTTTGTTATGTCCCCTGGTCAGGACATTACTAGGCTGATTTAGCGTCTGGTCTCAATTAAGCTATTCTCTATAAAGACCATTACTTACTGCTGGCAATCCTTCATGTCTGCACCAGAGGAGGGCCACCCTTGCCTGTCTCCAGGCCATCTGTCTCAGCTGTTATACCTCTTCCATTAACTATTCCCATTCTAGAAATCTCAATTGATTTATTCTCTACTTCATTGATTTCACTAGCACGATATTCCCTATGGTAGTAGTAGATTTCAATGAAAGTTTATTTGCCTTTTTTTTTTTTTAGCGTATCGGTATGTTTCTTGTGATCATAAGTAAAGTGACAGGATAATCTTTCACGCCTTCAGTGAGTGAAATCGTGATGTGGTCAACATCACGCCGGCCGCTTTTACTTCTAAGGACTTTACCTGGTACCCATTGAAAGTTGGGTCGATCGATACACCACAGCAGCTACCTTATGATCATAATAGGTTTGGAACTTATTTCACTTATAGCGGTTTGTTTTTACCCTGAGATTTGAATGTTATTTCTCAGTAGAACTCTTGCGTTTGATCAAAAGCCTCATCTATACAGACATCACTTAAGGGAACGGATATATTTTGAACACTATCAAGTGCTATAAAGCCGACGTAAGACTTAACCGGTCGTCAGTTAGGGGCTTTAAATGAGCTTCGTAATTCTGAATGCAACTGATTCGATTCCAGCTGATGGCGATTTGGCAGTAGATAGCCTAGTGTTGATTTTCACAGGGTTGTGGAGCGCCGACCGTTTAGTATTATGGCAAACGAATTAACGTGAAATTGCCTAGTGAAAACAACCACAACTGTTCCGCTTGGTCCTACAGTGTAAAGGGTGCGCGGCTAGCTAATACTTAACCACAATCTTATGTATTGCACATTTATCTTTAAAAATGTTCGACTGTACCCAAAGTTGAGAGAATCGACTTGCTTGCACCAGGCCTCATCCCATATGGCTCGGTCTCTCTCTGCAGAACGGCTAGCAACCTGTCGAGAGCGTTGCACACAGCACGAACTCTAGCTACGGTGACGACCCACAGGGATCTCAGTAAAAATTGCACTCGTGAACTGAAGGGCGCAGCCATGGAAAGAATCCATGACCTTCAGAGCGCTGGATAAACAGCTTGACCACTTCATTACGGAGACCCTCGCGACTGTAACCACATACCCAAAGAGGCCTTGGACATGGAAATGGGGGTTTGAAATTGTGTATACTATGTCATTGGAGTGCATTTAAACGTTGAAAAAGTTGCTCTTTATTCTCAGGTACTTTATCTGACAAAAACGAAATGTTACTGAAAGCTTAAATAAACCGCTTGGTCTTATAAAATTGAGAGCCTGTTTCTTACTTGTAAAATCAATGTTAAACGTAATTGTTATTTTAATGTCCTACCCTAGGTGTTGTCAGGGGCCCTAAATGTATCCTAACGGGTGAACAGCGTTTCCGGGGCTTGTGACCGGGGGGTTCTAATCCGAATGGTGACACTTTGTGTCACAGGGTGTTTATCACTCGTTGTGCAGTCCTGGTGAGGTTGACCGTCCGACAGTCAGTCAGTTTCTGTCGTTTTGAAAGAAAGAAAAACTAATCCTAGGCCACCTTCTCCTTGATGTCCTTATTCACAAGTATAAATTCAACGATTCGCGTACAAGTAAATATTGAAAGGGATTCTGGCTGAAGGGTTATGAATACTGGGCTCGCATGCCGGGAACCCAGATTGGAATCTTCATTAAGGTTTTACAAGTTTTTTGTTTTTTTTTAATCAAAGCAAATGTTGAATTCTACCCGCCACAGTCGTAGACACACTTGCCTGCGAATCAGGCGGTCGTGGGTTCAAGTCCAGTTGGAGTCGGATGTCTTTTTTTTTTCAAAAATGACCTAAGCACCCAGCTCGACCCAGCCTTAAATGGGTCCCAGGTACAGTCCTAGGAAATAAAGGCGTTGTTTTTTTTTTCTTGGACACCTTTAATTTATTTCGTTAATGTTGTCTTTGCATACATTGTGGTCCCTCATCATGTCTCTCTATACTCATCAGGGACTGCTCAAGGGCCGACTGTTAGCAGAAATCAAGCTGAAGACAACAGTGGACGAAGACAACCGCCATTATCATTAGCCACGGCTGTTGTCGTGATATTGACTCTGTTGACGTCCTCTCCGGGTCTCTACTCCTGACCTGTTTGACCACCGTGGCTGCAGATTCCATTCTGGTGATGTTATTCATAATTAATGAAGCATTAATGAAATCCTAAAAATCCCTTCGATCTGCAACTGCGTGTACTCTCATCAAATACGCAGAGAACATTATGAACACGCTGTGAATGAAAAGAATCATTACAAACAACATTTGAAAAAGTATTTCACAGTGTTTTTTGGAATATTCCGGTATTTCACACAAGGATGGTAATGAACCAATATTACCAAATCATAAAATTGACTGCTCAGCAAGCAGAACTGCGTTGAATTTGTTTTTATCGCATTTTTCTGTGAAATATTAATGCACGTTTAATACCCACAAACCACATAAGGTGAAGTATGTGTGGATAAGATACAATAAAGACTTAAATTGACAATATTCATACACACACGTATACATTTTGAGTATCTGAGAATATAACCACTGCAAACGTCATTATCAACGTATAAACGCTAAATATGTTGGAGTGATATCATGTGTAAATATTTCCAGGAGTCTACAAATAAGTAACCATTTGATTATTTAAAACTTTCTTCACTGTTTTGATTCTGGGGAATGGAAATCAATCATTCTGGCTTGCATACGAGGAAAAACACTTTTCAGATATAAACAGCAAAAGTTTCATTTAAAACAGACCAAACTGGTCATTCACCTACAAGGTGACTAATGTAAACAGTGTATAAATAGAATTATATCCAGATTATCTGTGTGCTTTGTTCGGCTGTTTAATGTTCATTTACCAAGTGATAGACAATGTATACTTGTCATTAAGATATGTATAGTTTGCAGTTAGCGAGAAACATTGAGTGGCAACAGCGGTTTTCGAAAAGTGGACAGTACAAACACTTTTCATTTTAAGCTAACGTCGCACCAAATATTTCTTGATGATATTGAAGCAAGGAACAGAGACTGCTTGGTGAAGGTAACCAGCGAGAAAGTGGAGAGCAAGGCATGCGATGTAAATATTGGCGGGTCAGTCATGAGATACCAACCATGGAAATTGAAGCACAAAATACTAGCACTGGACAGGCAAACATGAAATACGAACACATAAGTCAAATACTAATACTTTAGGGTTAAAAAAAATGAGACACTAACACTCAATGAAATACCAGAATGGAGATCAAACTTGTAAGAACAACATTGGGGCGTCAATGAAATACCAGCATGGAGATCAAACTTGTGAGATCAATACTGGGGTGTCAGACAATTAAATACCAATTAGGAGATCAAACTTGTGAGATCAACACTGGGGTGTCAGACAATTAAATACCAATTAGGAGATCAAACTTGTGAGATCAACACTGGGGTATCAGACATTGAAATACCAACATGGAGATCAAACTTGTGAGAACAACACTGGGGTATCAGACATTGAAATATAAACTTGGAGATCAAACTTGTGAGAACAACACTGGGGTATCAGACATTGAAATATAAACTTGGAGATCAAACTTGTGAGAACAACACTGGAGTATCAGACATTGAAATATAAACTTGGAGATCAAACTTGTGAGAACAACACTGAGGCGTCAGACATTGAAATATAAACTTGGAGATCAAACTTGTGAGAACAACACTATGGTATCAGACATTGTTGTTGTGAGAACAACATTGGATAGTTAAACATAGTGTTTAAACTCTGAGTAGTCAAATATTA